CCTGACACTGCCTCGCGGTAAGTGCGAGGAGTCGGTATGTCAAGGGCGTCGGGGTCTCCCTCAGGGGAGAGCAGCATGGCACACACAGAGGGAGAAGCGGCTGCCCAGTACTCCAGCTCAGACTCTCTGTCCTCTAGGACGTCACAGCCAAGGGCAAACCCACCCCCGACGGACAGAGGACGGTAGGGAGGAGCTGGCACCACACGGGTGGCGTAGTCAAGGCGGCTGGCGGCAGCAAACTCAGCGACAGCGGCAGTAAGAGCAGAGACCGACGACGGAGGGAAACGAGAGTCGGTGACAAGAGTGGCGAGGACACGTGCGGCAACAGGACGAACAGTGCGGTAGTAGTCAGTGATAGGAGTGGGGAGGGCTGGGAGAGAGGACGGAGGAGGAGACGGGAGAACGGACACAGGAGAAGGAGAGCGACGACGAGACGTACAAAGGAGGGCAGTGTGGAGGTCAGTAACAGGGGACGAGTGACGAGCACGCGGAGGACAACGAGTGACCAAGTCGCGACGGACCGAAGGAGGAGACTGGGGAGGAGGAGAAGACCAGACCGCCGGACGGTCGTCAGGAGGAGGCAACGGAGGAACAAACACAGGAGGAGACTGGGAGCGGACAGGAGGAGAGGAGGAAAAACCAAGGGCCCGCAGGCCACTCACAGGTGGGAACAACCGCCGCTCCAGAGGAAGCTGCGGTGGCGGCTGCGGCTGCGGCTGCTGCTGCTGCGGCGGGGGCTGCGGCTGCGGCTGCTGCTGCTGCGGCTGCTGCTGCGGCTGCTGCTGCTGCTGCTGCTGCTGCTGCTGCTGCTGCTGCCGCTGCTGCTCCAGAAGGTCCAGCACCCGCAGCTCCTGCCGCTCCCTCTCCAACCGCTCCTGCTCCTCACGCTCACGCCGGCGGGCAGCCTGGAGTCGTGTGTCGTGGCGGTGGGGAGGCGGAGTGGACTCCGCAGAACCAGGGTCAGACTCCTCAGACTCAGCACCCCCAGAACCAGCACCTCCAGTGCCCGGACCTCCAACTCCAGCACCCCCAGAACTAGCACCGCCAGTGCCAGCACCTCCAGCTCCTGCACCCCCAGAACTAGCACCACCAGTGCCAGCACCTCCAGCTCCAGCACCCCCAGAGCTAGCGCCGCCTGCGCCAGCACCTCCAGCTCCAGCACCCCCAGAGCTAGCGCCACCTGCGCCAGCACCTCCAGCTCCAGCACCCCGCGACCGAGTACCCCCAGACCGAGCACCGCCAGTGGCTGCACCTCCAGCTCCAACACCAACCGAGTCCACAGTAACCTGTCGCGGAAGTGCCGAAGGCTGCTGAGGGGACTGTGAGGAGGACTGCGGGGAGGGAGACGCTACCTGACGCGCGACCGAGGGTAGAGGGGTAACGTGGGACACACCAAACGGGGCGGGGGTACCGGAGGAGCGGGAGCAGGAGGAGGAGAGGGTGCGAGGAAAAGAGGGGGAGGGGGTACCGGGAGACCTCGACAGGGGTACCGGGTGTAGTAGCACACGGACTCGTCAAACCGGACGTCACGGGAGTCGAGGAACTGGTGGAGGGGAGGGTGGTAAAAGGACCAGTCGGCAGAGTCCACTGGGAAACCAAGGAAGACACAGGGGACGGCGCGTGCCGAGAGCTTGTCCGCGGAGGTGTCGCGAACAAGGGCAAGGCAGCCCCAGACTCGAAAGGCCGACCCGACACCAGGGGAACCAGTCCAAAGACTGGTCGGTGAAACCTCGGGCCGCGAGACACGCGGCTGGAGGTTCAGCTGGTGTGCGGCGTAGCGAACCGCGTGGGGCCACAGAAAATGGGGCGCACGGGCATGGATCATGGACGTGCGGGCGATGTCCATGACCAAGCCTATGCGGCGCTCAGCAACCCCATTCTGCTGTGGGGACTCTGGCAGTGTCCAGGACTGGGTGATGCCCTGTTCGCCGCAGAATCCGCCGAGAATGCCGGAGCGAAACTCGCCCCCACGGTCGGAGTGGAGACAACTGACTCAACGACCACGAGTGCCCTCAGTGGCTAGAAGCCACCTGATCAGCGTAGCAGTCACCTCGGACTTCTTCGCAAGAGGGAACACTGTGGTGTACCTGGAGAAGTCGTCGACGACCACCAGAAAGTAACGCTCCCTCCCAGACCCCTGCGTCGGGGCAGGGCCCCAGACGTCCAAGTGGAGAGTCTCGAAGGGAGCGGTGGCCGGACGAAGGGAGGAGGAGTGGGGAGTGGCGCGTAAGCGACCGGCGACGCACGGAGAGCAAGGAGGGGCAAGCGAGAGAGGGAGCGACGGGAAGGTGCGTGGGAGACCTGAGACAAGTCCCTGACTGAGCATGCCACGTAGGCGAGGGAGCGACGGGTGGCCAAGGCGGTGGTGCCACAGGACGGTGCGGTGGGTGAGAGAGCGATAGGAGCAAGACGCAGCGACTGGACTGGACACAGCGACCGGACCGGACACTACTACCTGGCTAGACACAGCAACTGGACTGGGGACCTGGGCCGGAGGGGACGCAACGACCTGAGGGGAGGACGCGACCGGGGAGCGCTCGGTGTGGACCGCGGAGCGGGGCTCCCTGGTGAACGTGGCCAGAACAGCACCTGTGGTAGCGTCTGTACAGACTGCAGTCCGCCCACCCCCCACGAAGGTAACCGTGATCCCCCTGTCCTGGAGGTATCCAACACCCACCAAGTTCCGAGTGAACGAGGGGATGTGGAGGCCGCGCAGGACACCAGAGGGGACCACAGGGCACGGGAGGGTGGTGGAGCTACGCGCAACGGCTGGTCCAGAGGTAGGATCTGCCAGAGCCACCGACACAGGTGTGAGGAGTGGCGTAAGGGTCGTGTGGTCGCGGAAGAAGCACTGAGACGCGCCCGAGTCCAGCGTGAACGACAGAGAGGCCTCAGCCGGAGGGTCACCAGACCCAGTCGCTACACAAGCACCTAGAGCGGCAACACAAGCACCTAAGCTAGACAGGCACAAGGCTACACTAGCAGGAGGCAAGCAGGCTAACCTACGAACACGCGAGCACACAGATCCATCAGCACTAAAGTCAGCATCAACATACAAAGCATGCTGACGCGCATCGTCCATGGACAGATCAAAGACATCAATCTTACGGGCTAAGAGACGAGACCAGCGAGGCGTGACCGCCAGAGGGCCCCAACGAGCCCGGTAGAGGTCGTCGAGGCGGCGGAAGCACCGCGCGGCAGAGTGGTCGTCGCGACCACAGAGACAGGGGCTGCCCGGCCCGGTGACGCACCAGTGGGTGCAGGGGCCAGCGTCACGGCGAGGGGGGCGAGGGGCCCAGCTGGAAGAGCTGCTGCTGCGGCCGGTGCTCCCAGGGCCTCCCGGACCCCACTGCGGCGGGGGACCCCAGTGCTGCTGCGGACCCCACTGCAGCGGGGGCCCCCACTGCTGGAACTGTTGCGGTGCCTGCTGCTGCTGCTGTCCCAGCTGCTGCTGCTGTCCCTGCTGTGGCTGGTGCTGCTGTGGCTGCTGCTGCTGGGGGGCAACGCCCCCACCGGTCGGGCCACCACCTGTGGGTGGGCCTGTCTGTCCTGCACCTCCTCCAAGGCCCCCTCCCCCTGGTGCACGGGCGCCGCGACGGGCTGGGGCAGAGCCTACGGGCGTCGCGACGGGCTGGGGCAGAGCCTACGGGCGTCGCGACGGGCTGGGGCAGAGCCTACGGGCGTCGCGACGGGCTGGGGCAGAGCCTACGGGCGTCGTGACGGGCTGGGGCAGAGCCTACGGGCGTCGTGCGGGCTAGGGGCAGGGCGCGGGCTAGGCGCGGAGGGTGGAGTGGCGCGGTTTAGGCGCGGAGGCACAATGGGTGCGGAGGTGCGAGCTAAGCGCGGAGGGCGCGGAGGGCACGGAGGGTGAACACTAGGCTAGGAACGGGCTAGGAACGGTCCTGCTCGTGATACCATCTCAAGAGTGGTTAGCAACGGAATGGTTGGAATAGAAACGAATGGGGTACAAATAAGCAACCCTAGAAACTGTACCCCCTAGAGCGCAACTCACTACAGCCTATCATATCAATGTTCAACATTTGACACTGGCGCATTCACCGTTGATTGCTGGCGGGCGGAGTCACGTTCCGCCGTGATTGTCGCGATTTCAAGCGCCGAATCTTCGAGTTGGCGCACGAGACGGTCGAGCTGCTCCTGCGTCAGTGTCGCAAGATTAATTTCGGCCATGGCGGGGGTGTCGGGCAAATTCAGCGAGAGCCTCTGTCGTGGCCGTGTGTGCTTACGAGAGAGCACTTCGAGCGGCGGTGCTTGTTCGCTGAGAGACGTCTACCCCCCCCAACAATTGAGATAGTGGGGAAGCGAAGGTGTGGATGCGGTCCAAGAGGAGATCGTAGGCTCTGAATACCAAGTGTTATGAGTGCAATTGAGCGAGCGAGCGAGAATTGCACTATCGAAGCAAAACAATCCAGTTGAGCGAAAAGCATGAGCGAAGTTATATAGCGAGGCTAGCGTGGTAACGGTAATGCGGGAAATTGGGGTGCGCTACGGGCCTAGCGCCGAGGTTGGGAATTGTCGAGGCGGAGGTCCGGAGCGCGGGTTACCAACCGAACCGTGAGGTTGGGTCGCATCGTGAACAGTGGCGGGAGTCGTGGTCGAGGCGAATGTCGCGAGCGGGTAACGTTCACAGATGGGTGCCGATGGCGGGAACAGGCATGTACGCGGTAAACAGGGACGCGACGTAAGGAAAAGGAATTTTCCTTACATTGAACAAGCAGCAACAAGTGGTGAATTGCGATCAGCTGGGTTCCGTCAGGGTGAATTCCAGATATTGCGGGACAGCAAGACTTGTGAAACACGAACCAACTGCCTTTGACTCAGCAGTGATACGCGCTTTGAAGTTCTCCGCTGCAGCACTAGCTCAATTGATTGGATGCATACACATAAATCAGCTGGGTTCAAACATCACAAAAAACAGGGAGAAGCTAGGAACTGTTACGGTATGATACGGAGTACATGGTAGAATTCAAACCGCAACCCCATCAGAACCCTTTTCTTCTCGCAAACTCCTCCGAAGTGACCACTTCCCACCCCTCGCCATCCTCGTCGAACGCTAGAACCAAAGTGTGGAATCTAATTAAGCTCGTCCTGTGTCCCACACTGACAAACGACTTCACCCGCTCCCGCATCATCCCATACAGCCGCGCCTCATTTCGCCCATCCAACGCACTTGTCGCCTCGTCCAAAAACGCCATGTACGGCCGCTGCAGAAGAAGACGAGCGAACGCCACCCGCTGCTGCTCCCCCATCGAAAGCATATCCGAATAGTCACACTCCACAGCCAGCCCTCCCACTCTTTCAGCCAAATCTGGAAGTGAAACCTCTTGCAGCGCATGCAATAGCTCTTTGTCCGAAAAATCCCCCCTCACACTCCTCCCTCCCTCCTCACCATTGCTCCCCTCTCCCTCCAACCCTCCGCCTCCTCCCCCTCCCCCTCCCCCTCCACCTCCCTCAAGAGCGTTTCCTGGGAAAACCAGCTGGTCCCTGAGCGTTCCTAACGGCATATATGGTTTCTGGGGCAGGAAAAAGGTTTTCCCGGGCGGCGGAGACTCGATGGTTCCTTCGCCGAATTTCCACAGGCCGGCAATGGCTCGCAGGAGGGACGATTTTCCGCAGCCGGAGGGACCCATGACGAGGAGGGATGCGCCGGGGGGGAGGGAGAAGGAGAGGGAGGAGGGGTAGAGGGTGTGGCGGAGGTTGGGTGTGCGGATGATGACAGAGGTGAGTGTGAGGCACGGGCCTTCTATGCGCTGAATGCGACCTGGTGTGAGGGAATGGGGGGGTTGGAAGAAGGGGGGAGAAGAGGGAAGAAGGGGAATGACTGCAATGATAAGAAGGGTAGAGGGTGTGGCGGAGGTTGGGTGTGCGGATGATGACAGAGGTGAGTGTGAGGCACGGGCCTTCTATGCGCTGAATGCGACCTGGTGTGAGGGAATGGGGGGGTTGGAAGAAGGGGGGAGAAGAGGGAAGAAGGGGAATGACTGCAATGATAAGAAGGGTAGAGGGTGTGGCGGAGGTTGGGTGTGCGGATGATGACAGAGGTGAGTGTGAGGCACGGGCCTTCTATGCGCTGAATGCGACCTGGTGTGAGGGAATGGGGAGCGGATGGAAGAGGGGAGAAGAGGGAAGAAAGGGGATGATTGAAATCATCAGAAGGGTAAGGGTTGAATTGGAGGTTGGGTGTGGGGATGATGACAGAGGTGATTGTGAGGCAAGATGAGCAATAAGGGCAAGAAAAGGTGGGGTAAAATGAGCAATAGAGGGTAGGGGTTGTGTTGGAGGTTGGTGGTGGGGATAGGGAAAGTGCGCGTGAGGATTGGGTGAATTAGGCATGGGGAGAGGAAGTGGAGATTGGAGGCGGGGATTGGGGATAACAGCATACCAGCTTCTCCCCCAGCAGCAGCAGCACTGCCACCACCTGTGCTCTTCTTTTTCCCCAGAGGACTAGAAAAAGATTCGTACCTGTTGCAGTGGTGCATTCAATAAGAGCAGCTTCTCTTTCAGCTGCAGCAGCAGCACCGCCACCACCTGCGCTTCCCTCCATGGCAGTCAACTCCAGCAGAGGGGCACCCTCCCCGTGAGAACCACCTGGCAAAACACCTGAAACAACAGAGCCTGCCGATGCTTCTGCTGCTGATGTGAGAGCAGGTGAGGATTCAGAAGTGTGACGAACGGCAAGCCTTTGCCCCGTGAGGGTGGGGGCGAGAGAGGAGGAGGAAGCGGAGGTGGTATGGGAGGGCTGGAGAGAGAGGGAATGACCGAGAGCCAGAGAGTGTGTGGAGGTGGAGGAAAGAGAGGAGGGATCTTCGGTGGTTGATTTAGAGAGAGAAGGGTGAGAGGGGGAGTGAGGGGGGTGGGAGGGGCCGTGGGAGGAGGCATGCGAAAAGAGCTTGCTCGAGTCGTCGTCTGCTGCAAAGTCGGAGAGGGACGAGAGTAGACTCTCCAGACGCTCTGTCTCCGCTGCCAGCTCACTTAAGTGGTGGGAGGGGGGGTGTTGGGGGTAGGGAGGCGATGGGGGAGATTAAAAGAAATGGAAGGGACAGACAGGCAGAGAGAGGGACGAGAGCAGGCTCTCCAGACGCTCTGTCTCTGCTGCTAGCTCACTGAGAATTGGGGTCGGGGGGAGAGCGGGAAGGGGAAGGAAAGGGTGGCGGGGTGAGAGTAGGTTCACCAGACGAGCTGTCTCCACTGCAAGCTTACTGTGTGTGGGGAGGGACGGGCAGAAAGAGGGGCAGGGAGAAGGGGCATGTGAAAGCAACAGGAGGTCGGTGACTGAGAGAACAAGCCACCTGGGGATGCTAACCAAGAGGGAAGCCTGAGAAATTCACCTGAAGAAACGCCTGAATGAGTAAAAGTGCTGAACAAAAAGATACATGACTAGTGAGTTGCTTAGGGAGTCACTTGATAGGACATATAAAAAACTGGAAAATCATATATATATATATATATAGCGTATACTAGAAGAGATACATGAGAAGACACAAATGATTACCTGGAAGTACCCAAACAAACACCGAAAGACACCTGATGATATACCTGAAAGCGTGGAAGCGCATGACAATGACACTGAGGGCCTTGTAGACTTTTGAGGCGCCTCAAACACCAACAGACACCTGAAGATATACCTGAAGGCGTGAAAGTGCATGACAATGACACTGAGAGCCATGTAGACCGTGTGAAAGGCATAGCTGGCCTGAGAAGGTACAGAAAACACCTGAGGATTCACCTGAACGCGTGAAAGTGCATGACAATGACACTGAGAGCCTTGTAGACCGTGTGAAAGGCATAGCTGGCCTGAGAAATCACCCCAAACTCAACCTGGCGAGAGAGGAGAGCCGGAGAGAAAAGAGGACGGGGAGAGAAAGAGAAACAGAAAGAGCGAGAGGGGGGGAGAGGGAGAGGGAGAGGAGCACCTGAAGGAGTCGCTTTTGTGAGCTCTCAAAAGTGCCCCAACCAATATAGCACCTGAAGGAGTTGAAGTTGAGAACAATGACTGTGAGCGCGCGGTAGATGGTGCTGAAAGCGTAGCTTGCTTGAGATATCACCCCGAACTCCACCTGTGGTTGGGGGGAGAGGGGGGAGAGGGGGGAGAAGGGAGAAGGGAGAAGGGAGAAGGGAGAAGGGAGAAGGGAGAAGGGAGAAGGGAGAAGGGAGAAGGGAGAAGGGAGAAGGGAGAAGGGAGAAGGGAGAAGGGAGAAGGGAGAAGGGAGAAGGGAGAAGGGAGAAGGGAGAAGGGAGAAGGGAGTGAGCGCGCGGTAGATGGTGCTGAAAGCGTAGCTGGCCTGTGATATCACCCCGAACTCCACCTGTGGGGGGGAGAGGGGGGAGAAGGGAGAAGGGAGAAGGGAGAAGGGAGAAGGGAGAAGGGAGAAGGGAGAAGGGAGTGAGCGCGCGGTAGATGGTGCTGAAAGCGTAGCTGGCCTGTGATATCACCCCGAACTCCACCTGTGGGGGACGGAGCAGGAGAGTGAGTTGAGGGAGGGAGGGAAAGAAGGGAGGGGGGGGGATAGGGAGAGGAGTCCCTGGTCAGGGAGAAAGGAGTGATAGAGCGCGGTAGAAGTAGCATGGTGCCACGATGACAGACAGCGGGGAGGAAGTTTCTTTTGAGACGTCTCAAAAGCCACCCACGTACAGGGGTAAGGGGGAGCAGGAGCAGGTCCGGCAGGCAGCACTCACAGCCCCAGAGAAGTAGCATGGTGCCGCCACGATGATAACGGGGACAGCGGGGAGGGAGTTGAGAAAAGGAGGAGAGGGTGAGGAGAAGCCATAGAAGACTGGAGGGGTAGCTGCACTGCACTCACAGCACCGGAGAAGTAGCGGGGCAACGATGACAGTGGGGACGAAGATGGTGGCGAAGTTGATATGAGGTGAGGCGAAGGATAGATGGGCGGGGCCGCAGGCAAACACTGTCCCAGGGAAAGGTCGGCACTCACAGCCCCAGAGAAGTAGCGCGGTGAGACGAAGACGATGGCAAAGTGGATATGAGGTGAGGCGAAGGATAGATGGGTGGGGCTGCAAAGGAAGGGGGGAACTTACAGCCCTGGAGAAGTAGCGCGGGGCAACGAAGACTACGGGAATGAAGATGAGAGAAGGGAGGGAGTGAATAGAAGAGTACATGAAGCAACATGTGTAGGGGACGGGAGGAGCAGCACTCACAGCCCCGGAGAAGTAGCGCGGTGCGACGATGACGGCGGGGACGAAGATGGTGGCGAAGTTGAGAGAAGGTGAAATGGCGGACAGAGGGTAGGACCACAGGGGAACAGTGCCCCGGGGAAAGCGGAGCACTTACAGCTCCGGAGAATTAGCGCGGTGCGACGATGACAGCGGGGACGAAGATGGTGGCGAAGTTGAGAGAAGGTGAAATGGCGGACAGAGGGTAGGACCACAGGGGAACAGTGCCCCGGGGAAAGCGGAGCACTTACAGCTCCGGAGAATTAGCGCGGTGCGACGATGACAGCGGGGACGAAGATGGTGGCGAAGTCGTAGAGGTGGGTGAAGAAGGAGAGGCGCGAATGGAAGAGTACGTGAAGCAACTTGTAAATGGGACGGGAGTAGCAGCACTTACAGCCCCAGAGAAGTATCTTGGTGCCACGATGACAGCGGGGACAAAGATGGTGGCGAAGTCGTAGAGATTTGTGAAGAAGGAGAGGTGAAACTGCAGCACGAGGCGGTTGCGCACGTTGAGAGCTACCCGGTGCAGGAAGGACTGGGGGAACAGGGGGGTCGGGAAGGAAAGGGCGAAGGTGAGGGGGTTCAAAGAAGAGGTTGCATTGACGAAGGAGAGGTGGAACTGCAGCACCAGGCGGTTGCGCACGTTGAGAGCTACCCGATGCAAAAAGGACTGGGGGGAGAAGAGGCAATACTGGGGAGAGAGGGGAGTGAGGGGTTAAAATTAGAGGGTGCATTGACGAAGGAGAGGTCGAACTGCAGCACCAGACGGTTGCGCACATTGAGAGCGACCCGGTGCAGGAAGGACTGGGAGGGGGAAAGGCGAGAAAAGAGATAAGGGAGTGAAAATAGAAGGGGTTGGTGAAGAAGGAGAGGTGGAACTGCAGCACCAGCCTGTTGCGCACGTCTACGTTGGCAGATACGAGTATCACGTTTTATACGCCAGCGTATTATACGCTGGGTATATACGCGGTACGCCAGGGGTGGCGTACTGGTGATACGTAAAAATACGCTGGGCGGGCAGGTAAAACTTTTTTTCCCGGGCAGGGCTAAAAAAACCTGTTACAGGGGGGGGGGGGGGGTTATGTTTCCCAAAAACACATGTCATAATTTAATTTCATAAATATCCAAAAATACATCTTCGAGGCTACTTCTCCCCACCCCCCATACATCCCCACCCCACCCTCTAGCTAGCTTCCCCACAGCCGAGTTCCTTGCGGGGCTTTTCCAACACCACCCCTGCCCCATACTCATCCGCCAGAACTGCATCCTCTCCTTCCCCCCCCAGCAGGTCATCCTCCTCCTCCTCGTCCATGTTGTAGCCGCGAGGGATAGGGGCATCCGGGATGTTACCGGGGACAACCGTGCTGCCCCCATCCTTCTTGTACCAATTGCGCACAACGTTCCAGTTGTGCGCAATGTAGACGAGGTCCGCACACTTGGCGGACCCAAGCCGGTTGCGGCGGGCGGTGTGGACGCCTTCCCACTGTGCCCAGCCACGTTCGCATGGGGAAGCCGAGACGGGCTGAGTGAGCACCCGGCATGCGAGGGTGGCAAGCTCAGGGTACTCGGTGCTGTGCCACGACCACCACTGCACCATGCTCATCTCCCCCTTCTTCACTGCCTCCCTTGCAGAGATGGCGGCCGGCGTGCCAAAGCTGCCCTCCATGTTGATGTAGGCCAGCAATGCCTCCTGCAGAACAAGGGAGGCGCGGCGAGGGGCGCCATCCTTGCCACGCCTGAAGGTTTTGTTGTCGTAGTGGCGCTCGATGTAGGCCTTGAACACTCGAGTGCACTCCACGTCGTTCCTGAAGATTCCCTCCACCTGGTTGGCCGGATTCAGGATCCGGCCAACCACATGCATGGGGCAGGCAAGTGAGTTGTCCCACCTGTCCTTCACAATCTTGGTGATATCAGCCTTTTCCGCCCTTGTCAAATAATCCCCTGCCTCGTCCAACTTGTCATTGATGTCCTCGGTAAGTTGTAGCATGATATCATACATCTTACCCATCATCCCCTTCGCCGAGGAGTCCGTGGCCCGCATGGCCTTGTACGGCACCGCCATGAGAGAGGTAAAAAACACCGCCAGCCCCCACCACTCCTCATCCATCACGGCAGCCCTGAACTTCTCGGCTGCAGTCTTCCTGTCCTTGTCCGCCACTGCCCACTCATTCCACTCGTCGCTGAGAACCATCTGCGCCAGCCCACCCCGCACCTCGCACAGCCGGGACAGAGCTATGTACTGCGTCCCGAACCTGGTCCCCGCGGGCTTGAGCACCTGTTTCCCCCCACCCTTCTTCATGTAAGCACGGGTGAATTGGTGGTTGCGCACAAAGGTAATCATCATCCCCCCCTTCTCCACGAGCCCCTTCGCCCATCCCATCTTGCCCACGTCTTCCATCATCAGGTCCAGGACATGCGTGGCACATGGCACATGCTCAATGTGCGGCCATGTGCTCGCAATCTTCTTGGCTGCCGAGGCATAGTTGCTGCCGCCATCAGTGCAGACCGCCACCACATTCTCCGGCCCCACCTTATCAATGACGGGGCGGAGAAGGCTGGCGATGTACCCCCCGGTCTTCGACTCCATGTTGCAGTCCACCGCCTGCTCGAACTCTGCGCCTGAGTCGTTGACAAGGAGCACGTTGGCCTGCGGGCGGCCACAACGGTCAGTCATCATGTCCGACGACACGGTGACCCCGTCCCGCTTCCAGCTGGCGGCAACGGGGGCGAGCGCCTTCTCCATTTTCTGCCGCACCTTCTTCAAGCCCGCCCCTCCAATGTAGCGCCTGTTGGGGGGGACGTACCCCGGTCCAGCGCGCGCAAAGCACTGGACCGCGTAGCGGAAGACCGGGTCATCCGCGATGCGCTCGGGAAGTCTTAACGCCGCGATCAAAAGGCAGAGGGCGTTATCCGCGTCCTCCTTGGCGCTCGTCGCCTCATCGCTGAAGAAGGACGTTATCTTCCCCTTCTTCTCTGAAGAACCAGTGACCGCGCCCAGCGCGGAGTCAATTGCTGCAGCGGCCGCCCCTCGTTTGACGCCCTGCTTCTCCACCTTCTCCTCGTACATGCCGCGCACTTCTTCACTGACTGCCGCGGACACCTTCTTGCAAAGCCGGACAGCGCGTTTCTCCTGCCCTTTCCATTTCGCAAGGTGAATCGCGCAGCGATTGGTTCCGCCCTCAAACGTGAAGTCACAGAACTTACACATCTTGGGAGTGCCTTTAGTATGGTACGGAATAAGAAAATGTTTCAGAATGGGGTTCGAAAGGCCAGCCTCGACAGGCTCCGTATTGATTGCGCCATTAGACGCGTTAACAGATCCAACATTGCTCGTCGCAGTAGGAGGGGTGGAGTTAGACGCCATGAGGACGAACGGGAGAAGAGAGCTACGGGAATAAAAACGAGCACCGCAATTGAATGAAACAAAGGAACTCGTCATCCATTATATGAGGAGACGAGTTGCTGAACAACATTTGAGAGGGATGGTTGGAGATGAGAGGTTTGGTGGGGTGGTGTGTGGTTGGGGGGTTGGAAGGTTTGGAACTCGAATTTTGAATTTCAGAACTGGGTTGGGCGATGTGCGACTTCGCGGTAACAAATCGCGAAGTCGCAAAACCTTCGCGAAATTTTTCAATGTCGTTTTTTTTTTTTTTACGGTCTGCCCGGGCGTATTTCCAAGAAATACGAGCGTATTGGCGTACCACGTACATACGCCAGCGTATGTACGTGGTACGCAACCCTGCTCAGGGCGTATCTGCCAACGTAGGCGCACGTTGAGGGCCACTCGGTGCAGGAAGGACTGCGTGGGGCGTGGGGAAGAGAAAGGGAAGAATAACGGGAAGGGAAAGAGATTTTGTAGGTGGAGTCGTAGAGGTTGGTGAAGAAGGAGAGGTGGAACTGCAGCACCAGCCTGTTGCGCACGTTGAGAGCCACTCGGTGCAGGAAGAACTGGGAGGGGCACGGGAGGGGTATGGGGAAGAGAAAAAGGAAATGAGGAGAAGAGGAAGCTGCCTCTACCCGTCTGCACTGCACCTACCCACCTACCACCCTCCCACCTTGTACGAGGCCTCCTCCCTGACCTCCCCCCAACAGAACGCGATTGACTCAACATTGTATTTCTTACAGTGTCTTGAAGAGAGGACGAAGCTGCTGTCTCTACCCCTCTGTACCTACCCACACAACTTACCACCAACCTTGGCTTACACGATACCCTCACGTTGTCCTTTCCTGAGGCACTCAAGCGAGGAAGGCAGTTTCCTCTACCTCTCTTTATCTGTTACCTAAACCCACTGACGCCTCCTCCGTGACCTCTCCTGCGGTGGACTTTTGACTCGAGTTGAATGCTTCCTGTACCACGTGTCCTCTTCCCCTCTTTGTACCCACCTTGGCTGATGACTCCTCCTTATCCTCCCCCCGGTAGAACGCGATTGACTCCACGTTGTCCTTTCCAAGGCGGCCCGAGCGAGGAAAAAGCTGCTTCCTCTAACCCTCTGTCTGTACCTACTCACCTACCCACCCACTCACCCACCCACCCACCCACCCACCCACCCACCGACCCACCCACCCACCCACCCACCCACCCACCCACCCACCCACCCACCCACCCACCCACCCACCCACCCACCCACCAACCCACCCATCCATCCACCCACCCATCCACCCACCTTGGCCGACGCCTCCTCCTTGACCTCTCCCCGGTAGAACGCGATTGACTCCACGTTGTCCTTCACTCGCACCAGGGAGTACCGCAGGTCTGCCTCCCGTTGAAAGCCCTGCAGGAGAGATGGGGGTAGGGTGAGGAGGGATGGGGTGCGGTGGAGTGAGATGTGCTTGTCTCATCGCGTTGGCCTTCACTCGCACCAGGAAGTACCGCAGATCCCGTTGAAAGCCCTGAAATGAAGGGGCACATAGGGGTGACGTGGGATGGGGCAAGGTGGAGTGTGGTGCGTTTGACTCCACGTTGGCCTTCACTCGCACCAGGGAGTAATGCAGGTCTGCCTCCCGTTGAAAGCCCTCTGAAAGGGTAAATGGGGGCGGGGTGGGGTGGGGTGGGACGGGGTTGGGATGGGGTGGGATGGGGACCGGTTGGATAGGGTGTGATTGACTCCACGTTGTCCTTCATTTGCACCAGGGAGTAACGCAGATCTGCCTTCCTTTGGAAGGCCTGTAGGGAGAAACGTGGCGGTGGGGTGGGGTGGGATACAGTGGAGTGGGGTGCGTTTGACTCCGCGTTGTCCTTCACTCACACCAGGGAGGGAAGGAGTATGTTGGACTCAAGGGTACACCGCAATGGAAGCAGCAAATGAGTTCAGAAATGTCGTCATCTGAACCTGAGTTGTTCCCTGTTGCTCCTAAACCCACCGCACCTGGAACTGCAGCCAGGTAAGTCGCTTGCCAAACTCTCTGACCACCACGAATGTGCCTTAGGTGCCTTTTGAGTCGACGCAAAGGGCAACTGAACCTCAGCTGTTCCCTGTTGCTCCCAGCCCCACCCCACCTGGAACTGCAGGCAGGTGAGTCGCTTTTCAAGGACTCTGACCGACCACCACGAACGTTATCTGAGTCGACTCAAAGCCCGCGTGTAATAAGCTGACATTTGGGTCGACTCAAAAGCCAATTGAACCTGAGCTGTTGCCTGTTGCTCCCAGCCCCACCTCACCTGGAACTGCAGCCAGGTGAGTCGCTTCCCAAACACTCAGACCACCACGAACGTTTCAGACACTGCATAAGCCAGCAAGAACCACACTACAAGGGGAAAATCTATCCCTGCCCAAACTGTCCCTTGCTGCTTAGCCAAATAAACCAACCTCACCTGGAATTGCAGCCAGGTAAGTCGCTTGCCAAACACTCTGACCACCACAAACGTGCCTGAGACTGCATAGGCCAGCAGGAACCAGACCAGCGGGGGAGAGATGTCCCTGTGAGGTGGGGAGGGGAGAGGGGTGGGGGTGATGTAGGTGGGGAAAGGGCAGAGGTGAAGTGTGAACATGCACTTGCCCAGCACACCCTGACCACCACCAAAGTGCCTGAGACTGCATAGGCCAGCAGGAACCAGACTAGCGGGGGAGAGATGTCCCTGTGGGGTGGGGACGGGGGAGAAGAGGGGGAACAAAGGGGGAGGAAGAAGAAGGGATGGGGGGAGGGAGAGGGCAGAGGTGAGGAGGAGCACGTTCAGCTGTCAAGAATGTGCAGACAGTTGCTTCTTTGAACACACTGAGCACCGCATTGGTATGAATGAGACATGAGGCAAAGGCTCAGGGCACAGAGCTCAGAAGCTTACCAGAGCACGTAGGCGAAGGCGAAGAGGTTCATAATCTTCCCAATGAGGGCGAGGAGCCTCGTTGAGAAGGCGGCGAGATTCAGAACAGGGCCTCCCACATAGGAGCTTACCTACCACACTCACCTTTGCTTTGGAACACGCTCGAAGCTTACCAGAGTACGTAGGCGAAGGCGACGAGGTTCATCATCTTCTCTATCAGCGTGATGATAATCTGGGCATGACGGGGACAAGAGGACGGGGTGGGGGGTGGTGGGGGAACGGAGGGCGTGCAGGGAGGAGAAGAGTGATACGCTTGAGTTAAGACTCTGCAGACGTACAAGCACGAGTAGGCTCATCAACCTGGAGGTTCTGTATTCCTTATAATGAGCAGGTTTCTTAGAGCGCGTAAGCCATCTTCGATTGAGGCACGTCCTGACAAAGTGCTTCACGACCTTGCAGATACACTGATCGGGATTGCCCAGCTTCCCAGCTTGCAGTGCTTCTAAAACGGCCAGGTTCGAACTCAGCAGTCTAGAGCAGCGGTGCGCTGGACTGGACTCACATTCAGGGACGTCCGGACGAAGTGCTTCACATCCTCGCAGATACGCTGATCGGGGTTGTCAAGTGTCCAAGTTGCCTAAACCGACCTAGAACAACTGGGTCGCCAAGAGCGTGTAAGACATCTCACATTGAGGGACGTCCGCACAAAGTGCTTCACATCCTCGCAGATACGCTGATCGGGGTTGTCCAGCTTCGAGTGCGTCTAGAAGCAGCAGGTTTGCATTCAGCAGTCTAGAGCTGCGCTGCGGTGCACAGTGCACTGCACTGGAGTCGCATTCAGGGAAGTGTGCACAAAGTGCTGACATCCTCACAGCAGCAGATATGCATGGCTTACATTCAGGGACGTCCGCACAAAGTGCTTCACGTCCTCGCAGATACGTTGATCGGGGTTGTCAAGTTTCCCGGCCATCTTCAAATCCAGAAACGCATGGTTGGCTGGAAATGACACAGGGAGGAAGGAAACAGGCGGGCGTCGAAAGAGCGAGTCGCGGGGGAGGGGTTGGGGAGTGTGGGGATTTGGAAGGAAAAAGGGAGTTGGGGTGTGAGGGAGCCGAAGGGGGTTGCCGAGCTTGTCAGGCGCCTTTGAATCCAAACACGCGGAGCTGGCTGAGACAACACAGGATGATAACGGGCAGGGGTTGGAGGAAAGGGGATGGGAGGGAGGGAAAGGGTGGTGTGGGAAAGGGGCAGGTGTGTGGGGGGAGGAGAGGGGAGGAGGAAAAGGGAGGGGAGGAATGGTGGAGGGGAAGGTGTGTTCTCTCTTGAGGAGCGAATAGAGGGTCAGGGCAGGGCATGAAAAGCAGGAGAGTGCAAATGGCATGGCATGGCAGTATGAACAGTGTTTGGATATGGTTTGAGGGCAATGAGAGCATAACAGGTGTGGGTTCCCGTGCTGTCGAAATGTGTGGGTCTAGTTTGTTGTCATTGACACTGGAATTCGCACTTGACATTGGATGAGGCATTTATGTGGCTCTGACATCTGGGGCGTGAGGATGTACCCCCAAGGCAGCGCCTGCCAGACGCTTATGAGAGGCAGCACTTACTTAAGTATCAGGGACCAGGGGTGACCAGAGAAAACTAGAGAGCAGCAGCTAGGAAGCCTCTAAAGAGCCGCACTTACCAAAGTATCTGGAGAGCAGCAGGTTGGTGAGCCACAGGCGCCACTCGAGGGACAGCAGCTCCTGATTTCCAAGAACAGCGGGATAGAGGGACAGGAGGTCAGGGGAAAGGTAAGAGAGGATCGGGCGGTTGGCATGAGGAAAACTAGCGAGCAGGGAGAGTGGGAGGGGCAAAGGGACAGAGGACAGCGGACAGGGGCAAAGGGACAGGGGACAGGGGAGAGGGGAGAGGGGAGAGGGGAGAGGGGGCAGGGGACAGGGGAAAGGGGAAAGGGAGGCATGAAGTGGACCTGGGGAAAGGAGGGGATACAGGGGGGGAAGGGGGGTGGATCAGGGGAACAGAAGAGAAACGTCTCAACTACTTACTCACTGTAAGCGCTCTCTCTCACATGCACGTAATCGAAGAGTGCGAAGAAAGGTGCGGCAAAGAGGATTATTTCCACACGGCGTGGTAGAAGAGAAGCCGCTCCCACTTGCACACCTGCACTGCACTGCACCGCGATGCACTGCACTGCACTCCATGGCACTGCACTGCATGGCACGTACCTTGAGACGCATGTACCCAGTGCTCACCTGGACGTAGTCGAAGAGAGCGAAGAAGGGCGCAGCAACGACTATGATGATGATGAACTTGAAGACCGCGTGGTAGAAGTCGGTCTGCTTCTTGGCTGATAGCGCCGTGTTGAAATCCCTCTGCGTGTACGAGATGACCACGTACATCTCTGGTGGGGGGGTTTGTGGGTGTTGGGGGGGGGGGTAAGCAGGTAGAGAAAGGAGAAAGGGGAGGTTAGCCGTGTTGAAGTCCCTCTGCGTGTATGAGATGATCTCACGTACATCTCTGGTGGGAGGGGCGGGGGATATGCATGTAGAGGGAGGGAGATAAGCAACTAAAAGGGGAGGGGAGCCGTGTGAAGTCCCTCTGCGTATACGAGATGACCATGTACATCTCTGGTGGGGAGTGAGTGCAAGGGGAGGAGTGTAGCGATGCAGGGGAAGGAAAGGTGAGCAGAAAGAGAGAGCAACGCCGTGTTGAAATTCCTCTGCGTGTACGAGATGACCACGTACATCTCTGGGGGGGGGAATGGGGACGGGATGGGATGGGATGCAGGAGGGTAAGAACAATGTAGAAACGGGAATGCGTGTTGAAGTCTTGTTGAGTATACGTGATGACCACGTATATCTACGGTTGGGAATAACCTGAAGGGAAATAGTGTTAGGGTGCAGGGAAGAGGGGTGGGCAACAAGGGACAGAAGCGCTGTGTTGAAGTCCTTCTGCATGAAACGACTCCAATCTCTGTGAAGGAGGATAAGCAGCAAGGAGGAGGCCAGGAGAATCCAAGTCCAACCGATTACATAATTTTTTATATCCCAACTTATTCTGTCCAAGCATGCAATGATAGCTGGATGCGTAGCCACAACTACACCAAATTTCGACATGTTACCACAAATGGAACTCCTAACCCCTTCACCATATGCCTAGGAACATACAACCCACCAGTGGTTCCGAGGCTGAATATGAGCAGCAGCACCATCAACCCCAGGTGAGTCTGACTCAAAAATTACCTCCTGGAAGCCACAACCCTTCCACCATGACTAGGGGCCTACAACCCACCAGTGGTTCCGAGGCTGAATATGAGCAGCAGCGCCATCAACCCGCGGGCCTTCCACTTGCAATCGCCTGTAAAGAACGCGATTGCCACCCTGAAGAACCTCCGCAGCAGCGTCCAGCCGTTGATCTTCTTGTCCTGAATCCCCTGGCCTCCATCTGCACCGTCGAAACCAGCAGGTCCGCTGGTAACTTTCGCCGAGATATCGTCACTATCCGGAACCCCACTCAGCAGGGTCTTCACACCGCCAACTCCGTAGCGAAGAATTGCGACGAGATTGGTGACCAGACGTTGTGACCAGCCACGCCGGGATGGAGCAGCGGAGGCATCAGGACCGTTGAATCCGTGGTGACTGGAGGAGAAGCTACGAGGACTGGAGCCGGACTTAAGAGGCACTTGGTCGCCACACACAGGATCGTCTGACGGATTTCGTTTCATTTTGATTCTATTTTATGCTACAAACTAGTCCCTTCTTGATCCGCGCCTAAGGCCGTCAGTTGGGTAGAAGCCTGAAGCGTAATAAATTCATTCAAATCTAAGAGTACCTTCGAAAATGGTTCAAATGCCGAACAACCAGATCATAAATATGAAACAGACTGCCTCAGAAATCTATTTCGCCAAATATTCAGCAGCAATGGCAGAAACGACCTGGGATTGAGTTTGTAAAAGGCGAAGGGTGAAAGCTTTGCCGGCAGCGCTGGTGAAGACGCATAAGAAAAAATCCACCTTGGAATCACCGGCAAAGCGAAGGCTTTCACCAGGATGGAACAGAAATGTAAACGCGTCTGGCGGGAGGTACGCTAGCTTGGGAATCGACTTCGGAAATTATGTGATGCCTCGAAATCATCGCAGCATTGTGGCCTAGAGACTGTCGCAGCCTCCCTGCCTGGCACCAAGCTACTGTGCGACAGTTTCAAGGCAAAGCGTCGAGTGCGCTGAGTGGCTCGCAGACTGCTGCTGCATTATTCCGCGCGTCGATTGCGCGGAAGACTCTTCGCATCCCCGATTAGCGAGGATGGACTCCATCTCATGCAGATCTGACACACCAGGACTTATACATTTGAAAGCAATCACATATAAACTAAATATAAGGGTGAATCTTCCGGGAAATTAAAAGATAAAACGAATCAGAATCATTGAGGCTCTTTTCAAGTTATGGTCAAGTCGAGAAAAAAAAAACGCTGCAACTTAAAATGAAAATTAGATAATATGCTCCTTCTTTACGGATTGCCACACAGAAATATCTAAAAAACCCAACTTTCCTATAGTTTGTGAATCTGATTTTGTGAACAGGCTCATGTCTGTTGTTATAACCGGGAATCGCACTGGATAAAGATTGCTAAGTTGAGAGAAGACAATGAAGTCTTTGTAGTTGTTACAATCCCAAGTGGGACTTAGCCAAGGATCGCTCAGGGTTGATCGCAAAGTAGTGTTGCAGCGGAAGTTTGAATCTCAGGTCAGAGTGAATGTAAATGACTGAGTTGATAATAGCATGCATACATCGGGTTTATATAAGAATACAGGGGAATACGAAAAGACCTAGACTAGCCATGTACTCTAAGGGGTACATTCCCTTATTACAACCGAATTCAAACCGTGCGGCGCGGGAACCCGTTTCAAACCTGTTCCCGCTCTTTTCACTTCAAATGTTTCTGCCAGCATCGGTCTTGGTCAGGCGGTTGCTGCGTCGCTTCGACTCTTCTGACTCCTCGACTTCGTACTCGCTAGAGTCGGCTCCTGCAGCATACAGGAATGCCTACTCATGAAACTTCATATCGTAACACTCCCCTTCATTCCTGGACGCGGGTAGAGCTGACTCGCTTGACTACTCCGGTGAGGTCAGAGCAGTGTTTGTACTGCTGACGTGGCAGGCGCTTGGTGAGGAAGTCTGCTGCCATCTCAGTGGTCGGGCAGTAGGCGAGGTCAACTTTGCCTTGGTCGATTTCGTCCTTGACGAAAAAGTACCGAAGCGCGATGTGCTTCGTGCGGTTCACGAAACCTGGCTTGTTCGCGATCCTGATGGCACTCTGGTTGTCGCAGTGAAGGCGAAAGGTGGGCGAAGTTGGAATTTTCGCCTCCTGTAGCAGCTCCTGCAGGTACAGGCCTTCGCGAACTGCTGCTGTCGCGGCGCTGTATTCTGCTTCGGCCGATGACAGGGCAACCAGTTCCTGCTTCTGCGAGTTCCAGGAGATTGGCCCAGTTGGTTCCAAGCGAAAAATGAAGCCGGTTCGGGACCGTCGATTTGCAGGGTCAGCTGCATGATCTGCGTCCACGTAACCGTTGAGGTTGAAGGAGGTGGTCGTCAGCGTGGAGTAGGAGAGCCCAATGTCAGGAGTGGAGATGAAGTACTGCAGGGCGCGCTCCAGGTCCAGTTGGTTCTCAGCTACTGGCTTGCGGGAGTACTGCGCCAGTTGGCTGGCGACGTACGAAAGGTCGGGTCGGCAGGTGACAGAGGCGAATAGCAGGCACCCCAATTTCTGCTGGTACATTTGGAGTCCTGCGGGCGACAGTGGTTTGTTGTCCGGTTTGTAGTTGGTGCTGGGGCTGCGGTAGGGAGTTGAGAGTGGTGCGGGTGAGATGTTGAAGCGTTCTCCCAGCTGTTCCGCGTACTTGGAGGCTGACAGATGAATTGCTTCTGGCGCGTAAGTGATGTTTAACCCCAGGAACTGCTTCACTTCGAGGTTGATGGTGATGTCCACGCGCTGCGCCAGGTTCTCCTGAAACTGATCAAGAAGTTTGTTGCAGGTGCCCGTGTACAGCAGGTCGTCGACGTAAACTGTCAGGAGGATGTAATCGCCGTTGAAGTGAAGGCGATACATTCCCGGGTCGTGTGGAAGCTGCTTGAAACCGATTTCGAGGAGGATTTTGTGCAGGTGCTGCTGCCAGAGACGAGGCGCCTGCTTGATCCCGTAGAGGGACTTCTTCAGTTGGCAGACCCTGGGGTCACCCTCTCCGTAGGTGTGCGGCTGTTCCACAAAGATGGTGGCGTCCACCAGCGCGTATAAAAACGCGTTCTTTACGTCGATCTGTCGCAGTGGTAGGTGCTTCGCGGCGGCAATAGCGAGTAGAATCCGGACTGAGGTGTGGCGACTGACGAGAGCGAAGGTTTGATCGAAGTCGATGCCGTGGCGCTGATCGTACCCGCGTATGACCCAGCGTGCCTTAAAACGCTCGATAGTGCCGTCGGCGTTGGTTTTCAGGCGAAAAACCCACTTCCCGCTGAGCACCCTCCTCCCCTTCACTGCTGCACGATCGACTAGGACACAGGTGTCGCGAGATTCCAGCGTCTTGAGCTCCGCATCCATCGCAGCACGCCACTCCTTGGCGTGAGGGCCGGTTAGGGCCTGGCGAGGGTAGAAACGGAGGTGTGGAGGCCGAGGAGTTGTAGGCCGGACACTGTGGTGGTGTCTGTGGTGGGGAGGACTTCCACCACGTCGTCGTCTCCGCTCTCATAGCCGGGTGCCGTGGTGCTTGGCTCTGTTCGGCGCCGTGATGGTCCTGGCGCGGGGTCGTCATCGCTGTCATCGTCGTCGTCGTTGCGCGGGCGAGGTGGAATGCTGGGATGTTCGTCGGTGTCGTCGCGGTCCAGTGCTGCTGCTGCTGCTGCTTCATCTTCCGGAGTCGCGAAGCTGCGACCGTGGTTGACGTAGCCGCGTGCTTCGTTGCGACGCTCGTCCTCGATCCACTGCTTCAGGGTGAGTCATTCGTAGAAGAGGATGTCACGCGCGGGGACGATTTCCTTGCTGTCCATGTCAAGAATGAGCCATCCTTTGTGCTCGTGACTGAGCCCCAAATGAACTCCCCAGCGCGCGCGATGAACGAATTTGCCGATTGTTGCCGAGGTCGGCCGGTATTGCACCATGCACCCCCAGACCCTGAGCATGGAGGGGTCTCCCCTTGAGCCGGTCCACTTCATGTGGGGAGACAGGTTATCCCTGTTGGCGGTGGTGGAGAGGAGGTTGTGCAGGCGCACCGCGTGGTTCATGGCGTAAGGCCAGAACTTCTTTGGCAGGCCGGACTGATTCACGATGGCGCGGACTTTGGTCATGAGCGTGCGATTGACCCTCTCGGCGACGCCTTGCTGCTGATGGGCATAGGGGAGAGAAATCTCATGCTTAATCCCCTTCTCGGTGAGGATGCTCTCCAGCTCGTTGCTGCGAAATTCCTTTGCCCCATCACTCTGCCAGACCTTCAGTTTCCTCCCTGACTGTCGCTGCGCGTGCGCGAGGAAGATGCGGAACACCTCCGGAGCTTTGGAGCGGGCGTCGACGTTGGCGATCCACACGTGGCGTGAGTAGGCGTCGATGAAGGTGAGAGTATACTTCGCCGTTGATGCCGTCGTGGGTGAGTACGATGAAATCGCTGTAGACCTTCTCCAGCTTCTTGTAGCGGTTGGTGCTCGGCTCCAAGGAGGGGTAGGCGCTGTGGGTGAGCGCAGCAGTGGGGCAGACTGTGCAGGTGACTGGGTGAGGGGTGGTGTGCTGTAGTTCTGTTCCGTCGGGGCGGAGCAGTGCTCCTGGCGGGAAGACCTTAGCGCGGAGGCAGTTGGCGAGTGTCTGGCGCGAGGGATGACCCATGCGCTGGTGCCAGAGGTCATCTTCGGCGCGAATGCCGGAGGTGCGCTTGTAGCGGGTGTGGTACTCCGCTGCTTCTTCCGCCGTGAGTTGCGGTATCTGGAGTGGGGGTTCTTCCTCTTCTCCTGGTTCTGCTTCGTTGTCCGGCTCCTCTGCTTCTGCATCTGCCGTTGCCTCCCCTTCTGCAGGTGCCGTTGTGAGATACAGGGCGAGGAATTCGCGGTCAGGGATGATGGTGAGCGGGGTCGTGGTACCTTCGATGAAGCGAGCAAACGGATCTGGGCGAGAGAT